TACTATATCTCATATTGAGAATATGAATTTATAGTAAACAATATCCTTGTTGATCTAATCATAGCTACTTGTGAAAAAGTTTTGATCATAGTCAATGTCATGAGTATGATAAGGACCATAGTCAATGACATGGGTATGATAAAATCCTTTTATAAAAAGTTTTGTTTTAAATGCATATAGTTATCCATGTAATGTATTCTTTCTAGAAGAATCACTTCCTTCTTCTAGCATTGATATAGAGAGGACGTTCAATCAAGATCATACTTGATTATCATACATGGATTACGTCTCATGTTCATGATTCTAAGTCATTAATCAAATTCGATACTTGACATAACATCTTTGTATTTGATGGTTTTGCTAGAAATCATCATTAGAAGCTTGCTTTCTACTAACTCAACTATCAGAGGAATAAGAGAACTTATTATTGGTGGGTTTGCATATACTAATCTAATCCATATTTAGAATATTATATAATATGTATTTAGTAGATTTGGGGTTTAAAAACTTTAGTCGAATATAGACTTCAAATCCATAAAACATTTAAGTAAGATAAGGATGGAGCCTTTCCATACAAAATCTTATGAAGAAAATATTATATCTACTAGTTAGTTAGTGTTTGTACTCAAGGTAGAATTGATAGTGTTCTATGTGTTATCCTAAGGAAATAAAAGGAGGACATTTCTACTGATTAGAAAGTAAATCATACAAAGTAAGATTTAATTAATCCTTTATTATCATTAAGGTCTTAGATAGTTCTTACCGGTTTGTATTTCAACTTTATATTTGAAACCTTCAACAAAGATTTCACAATTATGTTTTACCATGTAAAATATAATTTATATCTACTATAGTTGATAATAAAGTTGATTTCGTATCTTGTGCTATATCTTAGACATTCATTGAAAAGGAAGTCACACACCATAGTGTATCGTTCCTTAATAATTATTTTCTATACTACTTAGTGAAAATATCATTAATAATCTTTTATAAATATATAAGATTTACATATGTCAAATAAACTACATTATTTTCCTTCAAGGATCCCTTTCTTGAAGTTGGAATATGTAAATGTTAATTATATAATAAAGATAACAATGTCAAAGATGAGTTTGATTTAAAACAAGTTTAAGTCAAAATATTTTGCATATAGAACTTGTTATTTATAAAACATTGATATTTACTTTATAATTCTTATTAAGAGATCTAGTGTCATAAAAATATTTTTAATCATTTCTGAATATGAAGGCGATCGTTATGAAAAAAAACGAATTAAGTAAATAGTCAATCATTCATAAATTAACTGAGACATATATTTAGAGAAGCTAAATCAAAACATACATTGTTCCAAAACAACATTGTTTTATATTACAAGTACATTATGTTCCTAGCATAATTAATAAACTAAACTCCGAGAGTGTAGTTCCAACTTGATTGTGCTCAGCTAGTTACTCTTCTGTAAATATATGCAAACTATTCACAATTATTATATTAACATTTAAGTACCAAGTATTTGAGTGTTATATAAAAAGTATGTGTTCCATCTAGTAGATACATGAAGTACTAGCCTCTTCCATACTTTTTTTTCCAGATAAGAGGAACAGATCCTCTTCTGGTGTCCAGTTTCTCCACAAAAGAAACCAGATCCATCTATGTGGGTCTTATTGGATTTCTTGGGCTTAAAGGTGTTCAATCCATAAAACATGGGCCTCCTAGATCACCGAAGGTGACTCCTTTTGGTTTTTTACTATTCCTAGTTTGATGTTAGAAACATCTTTAGTTTCACAGTGATGCCTTTACTAGGTATCATGTTTAGGTTTATTTCTGAAATCAAATAGTTTAAGACTATGACCTTTAAGTGTATACAATTTTATATCTCTCACGAGATTGTCTCTTAGAGATGAATCCATTCATTGAAGTTATATCTAGTGAATGTTATCGTTTCATTAAGTCATTAAAGAAAATGACAATTCATGGTAATGAGAATGGATTATTTAACTACAAAATTTTAACAAAATTCATTTAGTATTTTCAATATTTAAACCTTTAATAATTAATACCATTTTTGTTTCTAAATACATTAATTATCTAAGTTTAGGATCCAAGTTGCAAAACCAATAAATGGTTAGGTGACATTTTATCTGATTTATTTAAATCCAACCCGGTATATATCGATTATCATTTGTATCTTACTATATAATTCCTATATTTATGTGAACGCTAAGAACAAATTTAATTGGAAATGTTTGATCCAATCTATGCATCGAAACTCTCTTGCTTGAGTGACCTTTATCACAAAAGATTTCCAATCAAATCATCCAATTTGAAAAAACATGTGTAATCAGCCTATAACTTGGTTATAGAAATCGCAAAGACACCTCGGTCATCAAAAGATAACAAGATGACCTTTATCCCACTAGTGCATACAAGAGATGTGCGGGTGTTCTTCAAGATGGATTGCATAGATTTGAGGTTTGAAAGGGTATTTTATATGTTTTATAATTCCAATTTTAAAAATATATTATATGGTTATTACATGCATATAATAAACCATCGTACCAATTTTCAAAAGAAAATCACTTTTAAGGGTTCTATATAAAAATCTGGTTTTTATATAATTTTAACGTGATTCAATTTTAATAACCGGTATTAAGTTTGAGTGCATTTGAACATTTTATATCTTTAATAAAAATTCCTTTTATTACATATATATTTGGAGTTTGTATATGTTACAAAAATCACCATTTTAAAACCTATATTTTAGTATTTCAAAATTTGATGTTATTAACGTTTTTATAAAATCAGATTTTATTTTAAAAAAAATAACTTGTTACATCTTATGGCCACATTATAAATTTTGAAAACCAAACTCCTTGTGATGTTTATTTTGTCCAAAAACTATTCTCGCATGTGAAAAACTAATTTATCAACTACAATTAGTAAATGCATAAAATAAACAACACAAACATGCATAAAATTAAATGTGCATAAACATAACCAACTAATGATATTTTTTGTGAGCTAAAATAAAAAATGTCAAGTCCATTCCTAAAGGGACATTCTAAGGGACCAAAAATCTTTTTGTAATGTTGTTGTACAAGCTCTCACTTGAAAAAACACTCATTGCTTGCAAAAGATTGGAAAAACTTCTTGAAAGCAATATTTCAGCAACTGTCGCTAAAAGTCCAATAGCCCTTAAGAAACAACATTAGTGATATTCTTCGGAAACTGTCACTAGAAATTGCTCTTGGTCTTCAAAAAATTGCTATAGCTTTATTTCTTGTTACATTTTTGTACGAATAAATTATTTATAACAACTAATCTATTTTTTACAAAAATAAACAAAGAAAACTAACCTATTAAATTTATTACATACCATATAAATAAATAAAATTATTACAACAATTTTTATAAAACAACAAACATACCAACACAACAAACACAATGGTCATTGGTTAGTTTATGCACATCATACATATCAACATACACATTAAACAACCTATATTTTTCTAAGACAACAATAAATGATAAAAGATTCGTGAAACTTTTGTCACATAAAAAAAACAATTAAAAAGTTTTCATAGAAAATATGTATGAACTTGTTTTTATACAAAACCAAGTTATTCATATTCTCCAAAAACTAAGATTTCCAAAAATCAAAAAATCTAACTAAACTTGCAAGGTTGCTCTTCATACCAATTGTTGAGATTTTATTCAAAATTAGTTTCAAAAACAAAAGATTTAGGCAACGGAAGACTTAGAAATTTCGAATAACATAAAAAAGTTTAAACCCACCAATGATCATCTTGCAAGTTGTAGAAAGATTAAACACAAACCAAAGAAGAGATGAAGATAACAACTTATGTAGTTCTTTGGGTCCTCTTGGGAGGCTTTGAAGTTGATGAAGAATGATGAACTTAAGAGACACCAACAATGACTCAACTTGATGTAGAATGCTAGTTCTTTTGTATAAAACTTTTAATCTCTTAAGATTGAAGTTCATAACCAATATGACCTTAACAAGAGTATAAGATATGAAAGTTTTCTTCAAGAAATGACAAAAGAGAGAGAGAGAGAGAGAGAGAGAGGGAGAGAGAGAGAAAGAGAATGCATACTACTATGCATGCTATAGTTTTTGAGTAGTAAGAGAAGCAAGCCAAATGCAATCCTCATAAAGTGTATATATTACACAAAGGGTCTTAAGCCTTTAAGACAACCCATGCTCCTAAGACATGGTGTCCCTCATGCTTGAAAGAAACCCTTTACTTTTGATTAAACTAATCAAAAGTCCATACCACCTTTCTTTCTCTCAATTTTCGGATTTAAAGATACAAAAGGAAGTCATGAGTTATAAATTTTATAAACCAAGTTTATAAAATATAAACTTTAACTTTTTGGTTAAAGACAAAAGAATTTATCTAGTCCAAAATGTTGTGCATGACTTATTAATGCATAACATCTGAATTATGTGATCGTACTTGCTAATGAAAATTACTATTTACCACAAATAAATAATTTCCAATTTAATTATAAGAGTTTATTGAATATTTATTAAAATCAATTTCGAATAAATAATCAATTGTATCAAGTTGTTGTTAATATGACCCATTAGTATCATATGTTAATTAACAATATCACTTTAATATGATTCTTGGGCATATTAGATCTTTCATTGTATACCTTTTATGTTTTTTTTTACTTTCATTCTACATCACATGATCTCGTATGTTTGAATAACAAAGATCTATTTATTGGATGCAAAACTTAATTATTTATTAATAAATTAGATTGCGCCAAGGATTTCGCAATTAATGTTTGTATATTCACATACATGTGCATATATTTATCACTCATAATTTCCCACACTTTCAAGCAAATTTTTTCACAACATTATGTGTGTGTGTGTGTGTGTTTTGGCATCTCGTTGTAATGTTCAAGAACTACGAACACTATAAAATCTAACCCTAGATGTAATCAGAGAAACTCGACTTACCTGCACTATGGACACCTCATCCTCAGCCGGAAGCTCTAGACGAACCACAAGAAAACACCCTACCTTTCATGGGATACGTGAACGGAACGAGAAGTGGGTGGTTGAGATCCGAGAACCAGGTACAAACTCTCGTATATGGGTTGGAACATATCCGACAGCAGAGATGGCTGCAATAGCTTATGATGTAGTGGCTTTGGCACTCAAGGGTGGTGATGCAACTTTGAATTTTCCAAATTTTCTTGGATCATATCAAGTGCCAGAGTCCTCAGACCCTGAATTGATAAAGAGTGCGGCAAGGGAAGCGGCGACATCTTTGAAGTTGTTTAGGGAAGCAGAAGATAATCAAAAGGAACAAAGTGGTGGCAACGAGGAAGGGCCTAAGAATTATGAGTTTGTGGATGAAGAAGAAATTTTTAATATGTCGGATCTAGCGAGGCATATGGCGGAGGGATTGCAGATAAGCCCACCCTCACAGCCGAAATTCGTTGACTCGTCGCCGGAGAACTCTTCCGGTCATGACAACTTATGGTCTTATTAAGTTTGTTTTAAACACAATAATATAGAAAATACGTTTTATTGTTATTTCATAGATAAGTCGTTTTTCATAGATGATAGGTACTTTCATATAAATATATGTACCTATATATCCACCCATCTATATTTATAAGGGAAGTTACACAACAATTTGATAGAGGCCTTAAAAAATTATGTGGTTAAAGATAAATTGATATCTCAAACGATATTCATTTGAAACCTACAAAATTTTCATATTCCTTAAATTGATGATAATTATAATTACTAATTTCTTTTCATTAACTTTAAATTCCTTCAAAAACCCATTGCATATTATATAGATAAAATTGCAAAAATGGTCCCTGTGGTTTGTCAATTTCTTTAGGTAAGGTCCAAAAAAAGTTTATTAGCAAAAAAAGGTCCCGATTTGGTGGTTTTGTTGTGGTTTTGGTCCCTACCTCGTTAAGTTTAACAGCATTGTTGTTAACTTTTGGCAAATAACAGATTTACCCCCATGGACCATTTCTGCACTTTTATCTTTTTACGAAACTAGAATGACCAATTATGCAATTTTTCTTTTTCATATTATTGAATTCTTTAATTAATTCTTTTTTAACTTCTGTCTTATTTTATTATTTTTTATTGGATTATTATATATTAATAAATATTATTTCTAATATATTTTATTTATATATTAATAAATATTACTTTATTTGATTATTATTTTTTTAATTAATTTTTTTGAATTTCTTTTTTATTGGATTATTATATATTAATGAATATTATTTTTAACATATAATATTTATCAACCAGTAAGTGTTACTATATTGGATTATTAATTTCATTTAATTAATTTTTTAAATTTTTTTATTGGGTTAATTCTTTTTATTGGATTATTACTTTAAATTTATTATTTTTATTATAATAAATATTATTGTTTTAATTGTTTTTATTTTATCTTAATTGCTTTGTTTATTGTTTTAAATAAAAATACCAAAAAATCTCACCCACCCCACCTCTCCTAATTTATTTTAAATATTTGGAAGATAACATATTTTGGATGACACCACCACCATCACTCAGTCACCACCACCAGCATCACTCAGTCATCGTGTTTATTTTAGTTTTTGTATATTCACATGTATCTAAATTTGTTATATATTTCAATAAACTTATGATTTTAACTTGTGATTTTGACATATATAAGTTCCATAAAAATATTTCTATATAAATTACCAAATCCGAGTACTCGCTACATGGCAGTCGGTCACACGAGTACAGAATAACAAGTTTTACAACATTGCCACAACCTGTAGTGGCTATGGTGGTTTAAAAACTCTCGATCTAACATTATCGTCATCGATAGCAGTATCGGTAATGAATAGTCGATCGGAGGCTATATGTTTTTTGGGGTTTATTGCGCATTGTGTAGGTAGTCGACCGGTGTAGTTTTTGTCAAGAATAGCCGACTATAGGCGATGATCGACGATTTACAGCGATATGATACGACGACACAAGGTGGTAGAAGGCAAAGAATGAAGGAGCTGACAATGAGTGTTTGGATGGGACCTCCTGGTGGTTGTAGCAGAACATGGACGACTTAGTGGCAGATATAGAGGATTTTGACGGATTGTGATGAGGTTGTCTTAGGTGGCTATTGGCGGCATTAGGTGTAAGAAGTTGGTGGGGTTTCCGCCGAACAATCGATGAAGGTGATTGGCGGTTGTCCCGTAGATTTTCAACGATAGACGCGACACTTTTATGTATTCTGACGACTTTGTGGTGGAACCAATAAAATAAAAAGAATTAATATTATACATTATAAATTAATAATCCAATAAAATGATATTTATTATATATAAAAATAATAAATAAAAAGAATTAATGTAATAAAAAACTTTAAAAGAAATTAATAATACAATAAAGTAATATTTATTATTAGAAAAATATTATATGTTAAAAAAATATTTATTAATATATAATAATCAAATAAAAAAGAATTAATCCAATAAAGATTAAATTTAAAAAATTAATTAAAAAAATTAATAATATAATAAAATAATGTTTATTAAGATATAAATATAATATAATAAAATTAGTACTTATTAATATATAATAATCCAATAAAAAAGAATTAATCAAATAAAGAGAAATTAAAAAAAATAATTA